CCTAACGTTATTTCTGAAGAAATACACTGTAGAAGCATCTACCAAGTTGGTATCAAATTATGCCCTTCCACACAGTATGTTATTGCCTTTCCCCACAATCATGCAAACACTTATTTTGTACATCTTTTTATCTTTTCAACCTGATCAGCAAAAGATGTATTTTTGATTAGTTTTCAATTGTTAAAAAAAGTTCAGCATCTTCATGTTTACTGGCCATTTTTCTGAGTCAACCTTCTTTTCCCAACTTTCTAAGTCAGGTTCCCTGGAAGAAGCACTTGAAGTGAATTCTTGTGTGATTCACTGAGTCCTCTGTAAGGGAATGAGGGGAAATAGGACCTTTCAGGAGCAAAGAGACAAAGATGTGGTTTCCTAAGTCTCTCCTCAGCCTATTCCCAAGGGGAATTCAGGAGTGTTAAATTACACCAGAGGACAGAAGGCTGTGCTGTAAGGCCTGTATCAGGCATTGGCTATTGGGTGAGCATAAAAATTCCTAGGAATCTGAGTAAACTGATTTCCATTAGCCCAGGATAATCTTCTGGGAAGGGTGATGATAAAGCTAAAGGTGCTAAACCTCTCTGCAATATGCATTGTAAATGTACTTCCCTACTTGTACTTTTTAAACAGAACGTTATTTTTTTAGAGACAAATTAATCAAGATTTTGTTCTCTGGCTTTGATGACCACATTTAAGTCTTTTCCAATCCAAGTTTTTTGTTGTTTTGTTTTTAATTTTCTTATCTTTTTTCTAGTATTTTACAAGTTTTTTTTAAATTAAAATTTTAAATGTTTGAGTTTACAATGGGTGTGAATTCAGTATGAGACACGGTTTAGACTTGTTTTTTTCCTAAGTGGTAAGAGTGGTTAATACTTAGTAGATACTTTCTATGACAGGTCCTGCCCTGAGCCTTCTACAAATAATAATCTACTTCACCCTTGCAATAATGCCAATGCCATAGAAAGGGAGAATAGATGGAGACACAGAGTGGTTATGGAATTTGCCCAAGGTCTCAGGTGGTAAGTACTAGCAAGTTGGGATTTTAATGTAGGTAGTGTCATCAATCTCTGCATTTAACTAGTATGCTGTGCTGTCTCTCCTACATAGGTAACCTGTTGTTCCAAGACCACTTACTGGACAATATGTCATTTCTTCTTATTAACTGTAGTGGCTTTGGACCCCCAACTCTTTCACTGACCTATATATGAATTTCTGCACCACTTATAAGTTTTAATTACTACAGTTCTGTTGCACTTTGTCATATTGAGCAGTGCAAGTCCTTCCTATGGTTTTTCTATGAAATTTCCTAGCTATATTTATGTCTTCAAAATACCAAGTCTAAAAACCACAAACATAAGCAAAAAATACATATTTTTTTATTTCATAAGCAAAAAATACATATTTTTAGATTTCATTAAATTTGTAGATTAATTTGGGGGAGAATTTGATGTACAGTCTCCTCATCCAAAAAAATTGAATGTCTTCCTCCACATATTTCAGTGTTCTTTAATTTCCCTTATTGTTTTAAGCGTTTTCTTCATGATGAAGGTCCTACATATTTCTTGGTAATTTATGTCTTTGTGAAGAGAGTCATCTTTTAATATAACATTTTATGAGTTACTGTTAAAACTACTGGCTTTTGTGTATTTATTTTATAACTGACCACCTTGCTGAATTTTTATTAAAGGTATTGTCATCTTGTGGCAACTAAATCAGGAGTGGTTCACGTTCCATCTACAGTAAACATTAGAAGGAAACCCGCTTGCTGCTATTCAAGGGTGACCAGCCAGCCATCAGGCCCTCCTATTCTGAACAACAGATAAGCACCTATTCATAAACAGAAAGTAGGCACAAACGCAAAAACACAAGTGCATGTAAACTAAGAAATACATCTATTTCTTACCTTCCTGGTTGCTTCTCTTTTTGCAGTCACATTTGCAATAACGACCTTTCTTCCAATATAACATGAAAGTCCACAGTATTTTATCTGGTGCAATTAAGCTAATAGATAGTCAGTTGGTTGAAAAAGTAGATTAAGGTGGGGTATCAAAAAAATATCCCTTAAACATTTTGAGTTTAAAATATATAAATGTACATTTGTGCCAGTCTTTTAAAGAAACGCCAAAGCCTGTCCTTCGGAGTATGGGTGCACTGAGTAGAGGGCTACAGTTGTCCTTCTTGAGCTTCAGTCTAAAGAAGAGAATTTCAGACTCTAGTGAAGCCATCCAAGTGCCAGTTTTTTACTGGATCTCCCCCATATCTTGGTTGTCCTGCTCACACTGATTCTGACAGTTCTTTTTCATGACTCTTTTTCAAACCTTTTTCCCTGGGAATTATTTTTTTTGCTTGTAGTAGTTTACCAGTTTTCATAATTTATAATTAACTTACATACTTGCCCAATGCTAAATTCAATGGCATAAATGACTTGTGAATAAACACACACCTAACTTTTGGTGAGCCCAAGTGGGGTGAAGGCAGAAGCCAAGTGACATGCAAGGAGTGTCAGTGGGTCCAGCGGCAGTGGCCATTGGTATTCCAGAGGGAATGGCCCAGACTAATCCATAAGATGGTTCAAGTGGAAGTCAGTCAGAAGTGTTTATTTTCAGAACCATCATGCTTAATAGATATATAAAAAAAAGATATAAATATATATGTGTGCACATGTGAATTATTCTCCTTGTATTTTGCCAAGGGTTTTTACTGTTTATTTAAAATCAGGAGTGGATTTTAAATTTTATCAGATGTCTTGTTGGCATCTACTATGATTATTCTGATTTTTCTCATTTGACCTATTACTATGATAAAGTATAGTATATTAAAAAGAACTGAAATACCCTTACATTCCTAGATAATTCTCACCTGATCATGGTATACTGTTTAAATGGTTTCTTACAAGATTTTATTTAAACATCTATATTCATAAGTGAGCTTCATGTGAAGCTTTCTCTGTCTTTTCTCTGACTCTCAGAACAGTGTTCTTTTTCTCATTTCAACAATCTTCTTTATATCAATAAAGCATAAATGCGGATATGTGCAAAAAAGGTTACTTTTACTTAATATAATGATCCCGCTACTAAAGAAATTATTTCCAAAGTTGGTTGAGTCCAATGCTTTGGTATTTTTCATATAACTATTAGGAAAATCAATATTAGATTTTCAGGGGCTTCCAACTTAAAGGAGGGAATCCTAGTTCAAGGATATCACGAGGTAAGAACAAGCAAAGGAAGAAGCTAAGTGTGATTTTATACCCACTTTCCCTCTCCTTCCACAAATTTTATAGCAACTCCTTTTACACAGAATTTTGATTTGATGAATATAATCAGAGAGGTTTAAAATAAGATTAGATCAACTAAAAGCCAACCCCTTAATTTAAGTTTCAATAGTCCTCAACATAATCACTCAAGTAGTAAGATTGAAAAGTAATGAGCCATGATGTCAAGTAAAGCAGAAAAGCATGAGTTTTTAAATGAACAGGAAACATTTTTAAAGAGTCTCTTGAAATACTGAAACATCTCATTCAATCATACCTGCCATTGCATCACTCAACACAAAAGCAAATAAACTAGTTTCTTCTTTTCTCTTATAATATAACTACATTCATTCAGCTGGCAGGTTTTTTATTTTTAACGCTTTACTAGGTTTTGTTTGTTATTTTAATAGACTGAATATAAAATCATTTTTACAGGTTCCTGTTTTCTAGCTCCAAGTGAAAATAGTAAATTATACAAAGGTTTTATTTCTGTTGTGGCTAATGGACTACCAAAAGGAGTAAGGGGGTGCGGACCAGACGCGGGTTTCTTCTCAGCCCTCGCACTTGGCCTTCTTGCAGGCTGGAAGAGAATCATCATCTGCTTCTGATGGCCTAGGTTTCTTCACTGTGGAAATAATTCCAAAAGCAGTCTTCCTGGTTTCTATAAATCAAACAGGAAAACCAAAGCACCTGAAGTTAAAATGAGATTTAAAAAGAGGTGGCTTTACAAGTATGACAAAACCATAATGAGCTATTTTGAGTCCTGATGCCACTTACTGTAATTATCTTTCCCCCCCAACATACACAAATATCCAAATAATATGAACATCTAATTCACTCCAAAGGGATTACCTCGAGGGTAAAACTGCAGGGCAGGTGACCTCTAATGGTTTGTCCATGGCATCTACGTAACCAGAACCCAAGTCACAGACCTTGTGCAGCAGATGCTTTATGTACGGCAGAAAGACAGATGAATCAGATAGCAAGTACGAGAGACAACTGTATTGTTCCCATCGTGGCGTGTGAGCTCGCTTTATTTTATAGCACATACCACACCTGTGTTCCTCACTAGGTCATCAATATACCTTTGAAGAATCAAATGTATTATATTGCCAACATGCAGCAACGCCTGGTTATTAAACAGGTGTTTTAAACACTTGTTGAGTGAATGAAGAAATCAAACTCACTTGTTTACTGATCTCATATATTGGTGACAATGGACAAAGAAGAGTGGGAATTACTAGATGCTTAGGTCAGGTTGGCAGCAACTTCAATTTAAATTTGCCCAGTGTCTGCCAATCATGTTCTAATGCGTCATGCGCTGCCACCTACTGAGGATATTAAGATGCCTAACAAAGTGCTTCTTCCTACCACACACTGAGATAAAAGGATGTTTGGGGGAAATGTAACAAATATGGAGGCACCTACAAGAAGTAACTGCTTGGATGAATCAGGAAAGTATGTAAAAGAGGTGACACTAGGAATAGAAAAAGGAAAAGAAAATATTCTTTTGCAAAGGCAAGAGAGGTAAGAAAACCTCATAGGTTTAGTGGACAATAGGGGTGGTGTGCAGAAGGGAGAGAGAGATCCATCAGCTACAAGGGAAGTAAGATCTAAACAACTTGATGAACATAAATTTAGTTAAGAATTATTTATTTTAAGAAATAAAAGTACAATCAATTCTGAAGAGTAAAATAATACCTTCTCATTTATCAGGGTTAATTTATCAAGTCTACTAAATCTTTGCCAATTACTTAAAAGCATTTTACTTAATAAAGGGAAAAAACTGCTCTTGAAGTCATTAAAACGCCAACATAATCAGAAAACCTCAAAATAAGTAGAAATTGCCAATGATTTCCATGTCACCAAAAGAAAAATGTTGCACTTAAAGATGTCTATTTATATCACTATGATTATGTCTATAAAATCAGTTGGATGAATAAAAAATACAAAATTAAATTGTGAAAACCAGTACTTTATAACAAAACAAAATGCATTAGTTTCAAAGTTTTTTTAGCTCCATCTCAGAAATGTTTTTTTAAATCACATGAACATTTACTTCTTAATCTAAGATGAAACATTATAAGCTGAAAAATAAGACTTTTATAGTTATCAGATAGTGTAACTCAGTGTAGGTCTGTTAGAAATATATTTTTTTAATAGCAGGAAGTTACATTTGTGTAGGGCTTTGGTCTAAACAGTGTTTTCACATACAGTGTTCCTTTACTCATCCTGCCAAAGAAAATTTACAACTACCTCTAAAAAATTATCTCTGAGTGCGCTGTTTTATTCATGAGGAATTAAGGTAGGTGTCCCCAACAGGTCCATCTTGGTCCAGTGGCTATTTAAGGACAGCAACCTCATCAATCACAGACAGAGGTCTCTGACCTTGAACCTCTTTCCTTTGTCCCTTTCCCACAATGTCCTTAAAATTCTATTCACTGGTTTCTGGAACCCCATAGGACCATCTAATTCTGATTCCCTCCAGGAAGCCTTCCAATGTTGAATGCCAGCTACTCTGTGTCCTAAGTCTTCTGTTTTCCATTCTGTATCCATTCCTGAACTGCTTGCAACAAATTGTCTCATGATAAGCTTTCCAGATCCTCTACGAACCTATTAACTGTCTTCTGCTATTGTCCCAGTGCATTGCTGTCCTTCTTGAATGTGACACTCAGGACGATACAAACTCCACCTGGGATTTCATCAGTGCAAAGAATATTAATGAGACTTTGAATCTCCTTGCCTTAGAATCCTTTATTTTTTCTAATGTATCCTAAGGCCAAATTAGCAATCTCAGGAACCCACCACACTACTGTCTCACACTGACCCCATATCAAGTAAAACCAGGGTAACTATAATGAATCCTCTAAATGTGCTGTTAGGGCCACAGGGACAGCAGGCATAAACCAGGAGTGTGCAGGGCTTACTAGGTGAGTGGTAATGTTACCTAAAGTCCACATGGCTTCCTTCAGTTTAGCTTCTATAAAAGCCTAGCTTATGTATATATGTCCTATTGAGTTTTTGTAGTCAAATGCAGAACTTCATATTTTCCCTATTATATTTTTTATTAGTTTCCCTTTATTATTTTAGTCTATTTTGGAACAATTGTTATCCAAAATTTTTATGATTCTTTATATTCATTTAAAATAGATGAAAATAATAGCAGAACTACCAAAGTGTTAACCAACTGTTTCCTAATTTCAAAAAAATCTTGATAAAGTCATAATTAATTTGGTCATTCTCAAAGCTTATATGATAAGATTTAGGCTATATAATACAACAATCTCAAACTAAAAATGTTAGAAACAAAAGCAGAATCATCTAATTCATGATATTGTATTCTAAATCAGTACAGTAATCAGTTCTCCCAAGTGGAAATCAGATCATTAAAATCCAGATACAACACACAAGCCCTCAATAACTTAATTATTCATATGCCAATTAACGTAGTCTTAATGTAACAACCTATTCTGAAGTTTAAAATTCACCTGGTGATACCAAGTAAATTGCTTCTAGACCACTACCAGTAGGGCTAAAATTTGCAAAGAGAATGAAGATAAAACAGTAGATCAAAAGTGTAAATTTTTTTGCTTTTAATGAAACTTCATTTTCATTCTCCAAAGTCCTGGCATATTAAATACTTTTACTTCAACTTTTATCATCTGATGAGTAAGAAACTCAGTGGCTTCAAGTAGTAGAATTAGGATGAAGAGATAGATGTAGGTAAATGAAGTGAGAACAAAAGTGGGTGGAGTCTGCAGATACTTGAACATGTAAAGAAAAATAAGAAAAGAACAAGTTGTAATGAATATGAAAAGTTACAATTCGAGTTTATTAGTTGGGTTTTTAAAAATGTATTTGCTTCTTTGTGTTCCCAATAAATGGCTTAACACATTATTTTTAACATTTCAGTTCTCTAAAGCAGTGATTCTCAGCATGGAGAGCATACCCCTCCGGAGAGGAAGGAGGGGAAAGGGAGATTAAAAGCGTATTAAAATATTGGCAGGGACACACATCCATAAAGAACACACTCAATACTCATTTCTATAACACCAACTATATTCATTCCACAAACTACAGAAAGTAAAGCCTGAAGTGAAGGGTGAGAAAGCATTGACAAGTATGGTTCAAAGAGGGTGAGAAAAGATGACGCTAAAGGAACTCTGCAGGGCTGGATAATAAAAGCAGATATGGCTCAACTGTCTTGACGAAAATGATTGGCTCCTAACATGACCACTCGACGTTTCTCCTGGAAGAGCTGGCTCACCTCCGTGGAGAAGCACTGCTCGGCAGTTGGTAGACACTGCAGCCTTGGCATCGTTTTCAGACAGCCCGAAGAGCAACCCTCTGGTGGTGCCATTAAAGACTTCAACCCAGAGTCAGGCAGGGACACGAGACTAACAGAAACGTAACTGACAATGCTGAGAGAGACTTAAATTCTACAGTGGATCTTAGCCTGAATGGAGCATGCATCTGAGAAGAGACTCAGTCAACGCCAAGCTTTCATAACACATAACATCCCTCATTCTCCTTTTTCTATTTTCCCCTTAGCTCAGGAAATAAGAGGATGATATTCTAACAATTTCTTACTCAGAAAAGGATACAAGTTTGCCACATCGTATGGGCCTCTTATTTCTAAAGGCTAAAGTAAAATGAACAAAACATAGACATCAGAGAAGTTATTCATAAAATTTAAGTGACTTTATTTGCAGTTTTAACAGAATCATGAAAGTATCCAAAAACAAGGAAGTCCACTGCATAAATTCAAGTTCCATTGCATAAATTTAAGTCCTTAAAATGTTTATGGTTTTATTAAGTTTTTGAAAATATAAAAGAATCTTGAAGAGCATTTTGTAACAGTATAAAGGAAAAACTGTATAAACAAAACCTGAATGTCAAAAGGACAGAGGGGTACATTTTACTTTCCAGCAGTTACAATAAACAAATCCGGTTAAAAATGAATACATGAAATAAACATTCATTACATTGCTATTTTAATTTCTCACCTAGAACTTTACAGTTTTATCACTTGAAAAGCAAAAACAATGTGTTTAATGCCAGACTTACCCTTTCTGCAGCACTAGATATAATTACATTCTACAAAACAGAAAGTTATCAATATTAAGATAAATGTGAAAAGAATTGAAGAGTCTTATAATACAAATAGCTAGTAATCACATTTTAATATTTAAGGTTCTATAAATACCTTCTTTTAAAGATAGGTAAATAATTAAAGTGAAAGAACAGAAGACCTCATGGTAAAACAAAGATAACAGATGGTAAGAAATAGAATAGACCTTCCCAACATATCTTAGAAAAGATGAGTTAGTTTAAAAAAATAGTTGAAAAGGTCATAGAACCTTAATTCAATTCACTGATAATAAGCCATTATTATCTAGACTTTCTTCTCACAGTAAGTAAACTGCAAATTCCTTACTGAAAGATAAAGGCTTTTAACACATCTTTTCCCCCCTCACATATTCTTCCCTTGATAATTTTCTTTCCCATAGGACTTGTAAAACTCATTAACATGAGAGAATTTGTGCCTCAAGAACTTTCTGCTTCAAGGAAAAGGAATCTGTTTGATAATTCCAGTGTATTAATAACAATAAACTACGAGATTTGAAAAACATCCTAAAATTATGGACCCATACCTTTCCTTTGCAGATGGGCATCAAATTGAGGGCATTGGAAATTGTGTACCTTCTCATTGTGGAATCTTTGATTGCGGGGCTGTAGACAAGTTCAAAGCCCACACCTCGGTCAATTGCCTTAACAAGAAATAAAGACAATAAACAGTTAAAGATAAACACACACTGTCATACTTTATTTTCATTTAAATTAACCCTGGCCTCCCTCTTCACCCCTGCAAGTCAAGGTATAGCCTCAAAGGCAGATTTATGCTGAGTGGCACTATCCACAGGAGAAGAAAACAGATCTGTGACTCTATTTGATCAACAGAGTTTATCTTAGCTGTGGGGAAGCTGACTTGATATAAACAGGAATCATGGAGGCTAAGGACAGCAAAGTCTCAGTCACGTGGCAGCAGGGCTATTCCTCCACACCTCCACAAACTATCAAAAGGACAACAGAGGTGTGCTCTCTATACTTGGGGTAAACTGCAGACATAGTAAACCAAGTAATTTGACCCAAGAATGAAGAGAGGAAGGAATGAAGAACTGAAAGAAGCTCAAAGAGCAGGGAAGGGAAGACCTCTCAGGTAAGTCCTTCATAAGGCATATATTGAATGAAGGAACAGTAACAGGAGGTTGAGTGCTAGTCCAGGTGCTGTGCTGAGTCTTATGTATACATTTAACTCTTCCTATACCTTTATAAGGCACTGTGGCGGACGCTGCTAAATGCCCCCAATATCTGTTCTCCCCTTTCTCTTTACTCATAAGAGTCCCTGATTCTTAGCTGGGCTCATGGATGCCAATCAAAAAAGATAGAAGAGGCCTGGGCCCTTTATGATTGTGATCGGCTCATCAGACAAGCTTGGTTTTCTACATGAGAACAGAAACTTCTTCCATAAGCCATTCTTAGGGGGTAGGCATCCTGCACAGGTCAAAAACCAGCCTGGAAGGGGTGGAAATAGGACTGAAATCCACTACCTCACTAATCCTCTTTGCACGAGCAACTCAGTATTTTCATTCATCCACAACAGACAACCAAGCATGGCAACGGTGAAGCAAAAGCTGTCAGGGTTCCTCCCTTCTAAGAGCTGACAGTTTAGTAGAGGAGACTATCAAATAATTACACAAAAATACAAAACTTCAACTGTGATATGTGAGATCAGGAGAAGCTTAGGAGGGAGGGAGGAATTTAGTAGTTAAATAGCAGAGGGAGGCACATTTTCAGATGGAAGAAGTATGTGGAAAGGCTTTGGGGTTGTGGGGAGGGTGGTAGCATGCAGAGAAGTCGTAGGCTGGGGAAGACAGTAAGAGGGAGAGCTTTGTAGGGGAGTGGAGGCTAAAGAGGATGGGAAGGGCCAACTGTGCAGGTCTTCAGAACTGGAGACAGGATTCACTGAATAGCAGTGGCCTTCTGAATGAACAAAGGAAGGACCACGCAGTACGGTCCCAGTCTGTGCCTGCCAAACAAATTTCTATTACCTAGAGAACAAGCTGGGAGTGGTCAGCTGTGACTGCTAGGGGTCTATTCCTGAGGAATGGAAATTCCAGGGAATTTCCAGGGAATGGTAAACCTATCTTCTTCCAGAACTGGCAGCCCACTTTAATTTAATTCAAGTGTACCTGGCAGGCTCTATTTCCCCTTCACAAACACAGGTTTTGTTTCTTTCATCCCCCAATCTTCCCTTTCTTTAACTTTTCCTCCTGCCCAGATTTTAGATTTCCCTCCATATCTGATATGAAATTGGCTAGAATTTACATGCTATTTTCCACACTGCAACCTTCCCCTCTCCCCTTTTCTGACAACTTCCTCCCACATCTAATTCTTTGGCTTGTGTTATTTCTAGGGATGATGTCCGTTATGATACTCTTTGTGCCACAGTTCAATGAACACCTCATCTTCTGCCTAGCTTGTACAATACACTTCTAGAGAGCTGGTATCATGACACTTCTTTGTAACACATAAATGCCTTTTATACAAAAAGGGTTTAGTATGTTTATATTATGAGTGAATAAATGGTAACTTATAGGAAAGAGGTTGTTTGGTGATGCTGTTCACTATGGATTGTCCATCATTAAAGGAACCAGTATGAACTTGGCTAACTGAAATTCACACATAAACCTCTTTGAGCCATATTCTCAACTATTCCCAGTTACTTCTACCAAAACTACTAATCAGCCAAAGAGGCTGGCTTATTTTTCTCTTCCTCATCTTCTAGCTGCTAACACATCCTAACACACACTGCAAGATGGAGAAGAGGGGAAATAAAAGATGTTGATGATTCACAGAACTGGGCAACCAGGTCCCAAAGTATTCTTAACTGATTCTAAAATTTCAGCCCCTTCTGAGGACTGGATCAAAAGAAAAACTCCTTTTTTTTTTTTTTTTTGGAGGTGGGGGAAAGGAGGAAAAAAATTGACATAATTATCAGCTTAACTATTTTTTAAGAAAAAAGTTCTGCTTTGATCTTAGTACATTAATCAAGTTCACTTTTAAAAGCTAAGAAAACTCTGAGATGGAGAAACTAAACATAATGTGCTATTGAAGGCTGTGAACATTTCTTTTATAACACTTTATTTTAAATTTTTATAAGATAAAATACAGACTCATTACCTGGGTTCCTGCTTCTAAGATCATTTTAATGTAAATTGCCTTAAGCTCATCAAATGATTGTTGTTAACAGCCTCTTCATAAAGAACCACAGTGCCTGCCTGATTGGCTTTTGTTCGCATCTCTGACCAAAGGTGCTGGAATATGCAGATGATCAGATTTCTTCACTAATGAAAAATATTAGTCACAATGATGCTACAAACCAAGGGCAGATGTGTGATACTTAATCAAGAGATACCGGTGGTAAAATTCTAGAACTAAGCAAAGTTTAAGAGAATGAAAAGAGCAAGAAAATAGGGAACTGATTACTGAGACAATATGCAGATTCTCTGTTGATTTCATAAAAATTAGTTCTTTATTGATTTCAAAAGGATGATACTCTTTTGGTGTATCTAAAGATAGGTAATTTGCTCACATGATTCACAAACCAAAGTAACATAAGAAAGCAATAAAAATTCTTGCTTGTATCTCTGCTCCCATCTGCCAATTTCCACCTTCCATAATCACTTTTACTAATTTGTCTTCTTTCAGAGTTTCTTCATACAAATATAAGCCAATATGGATATATATTATTTTTTCTCATTCTTATCCAAAATATAGCCAGCTGCATTCTCATTCTGACTTGAAGGCTTTCCCTGTCAGCTCATAACTTCTGCCTTGTCTTACAGCTGCATATTTCATTGTACAGATATGGCATGTATACCCAAACCTCTACTAATAGACTCTGGGTTGTTTCAATATATCTGTAGAATGAACACTGTAGTGGGAATGCTGGGCATTATGGGTTAAACTGTGTCCCCATAAAAGGTTTGTTGAAGTCCTAACCCCCATACCTCAGAATATGAGCTAATTTGGAAATAGGGTCACTGCAGATATAATTAGTTATGATGAGGTCATACTGGAATAGGGTGGGCCCCTAATCCAATACAACTAGTGTTCTTATAAAACGATGGCCATTTGAAGACAAAGGGACACAGAAGAGAACACACCATGAAGACAGAGGCAGAGCCCGGAGTCACGCAGCTGCAAGCCGAGAACTGTTGACTGAGGGCCGGCAGCCTGCTGGGGGCTAGGAAGAGGCACAGATGGGCTCTCCCACAGCTTGCAGAGGGAACACGACTCTGGCGGCACCTTGATTTTGGACTTCTAACCTCCAGGTCTGTTAGACAATAAATTTTTGTTTTAAGCCACCCAGTTTTTGGTACTTTGTTATGGCAGCTCCAGGAAACTAATACACTAGGTCAGAGGGAAAAGCATTTGTAATTTTGATAGCTGCCAAATTTCCACTCTGATATGGATTGCTCCAATTTACACTGTGACAAGCAATGTATGAGAATGCTCGCCTTCCCACAGCCTACAATAGTGTATCATCAAACTGCTTGGTTTGTACCAATCAAGTGATTTTAACACAAATTTTTCTGATTATGATGAGTTTAACCATCTTTCACGTTTAAGGGTCATTTGTATTTCCTTTCCTGTGAAATGTCTTTCATATTCTTAATCTATTTTTGGGGAATGTTCATCTTTTTTTACTTTTCAATTTCTAGAAGAAGCTCTTCATACATTAAGGAGATGAGGCTTTTGTCTACAAGATGAATGTAAATATTTCCACCAGTCTGTCATTATTAATCTTTTAACTTTGTTTCTGGACTTTTTGCATTTTAATACTGGCAAGTTTGCTGGCACTGGTCCAAGCCCTGGATCAATAAAGCACTTAATACATTTAGGTTCACAACATGTGTAATGAAATATAAAGTTAAAGCAGCACTCACACCCAATTCAAGAATATATGGCATGATTCCTAGAACAACCTCACTGTTTCAGACACTATTTGCTGGACATCTCTCAGTGGGGGCTAATGGACCATGAAAACAGAAGTGGACTATGGTTAAAGAAACTGCTGAGAGGAAAACATCAGAGAGAGTGTAAAATAATACAATCACTGAAAATAACTCACTAAACTGTTGAATAGCAGTAACACTGGAAATAATCAAAAGTAAAGGTATGTGCTGTTTAAAAAATATTTTCAAAACCTAAGTTCATAAAGATCACATTTTAAAACATGAAATTGTTCTGTGCTTAACAAAGAGCTCCACTGTAATTTTCAACAGCATTTCCCAATAGGAAATGATGGCAGATTTAGAATCAAAGCTTGAGTACAAATCCCTAGTCAATCTTTGAGAGAAGTGTATCTGTGTGAGTGAGTCACTAACTACTGAGTCTCAATTCCCTTACCTGAATGAGGGAGATAATTAACATCTACCCCACCCTAAAGCTGCTGGGCTACTGCGGGTGTTAAAGTGCTAAGTCATAAAATGCAGAATAATTAGAAGTCATTTGATTATCCAAATAGAGGAGCTGAATTCAATTTTTTTGAAACCCAACTATCACATGATGAAGTTGTGATTTCTGCAAGTTATTTGTAAGACTTTGGAAGAGGTGAAGACTTTAATTCAAATGATGGTGCCCTAAGCATGTGATGAAGGTAATAGAAGGGCTGAGAGTGGTCAGTCACACAGATGGAGGGCTCTGGTAGGCCCTAGCTCCTGCTCTCATAATCCCAAGCTACTTCATTTTTTAAAAAATTTTACTGAGGAATAGTTGATAAATATAATTCTATGTATTTTAAATGAACAACATGATGATCTGATATACATAAATACTGTAGAATGACTGTCAAGGTCAAGATAATTAATACACCCATCACCTCACATAGTTAACTTTGTGTGTGTGATGAGAATGCTTAGGATCTACTCATCAACTTCCAGGTATATCATACCGTATTATGAACTATAGTCACCCATATATTAGATCCTCAGAAATAACCTATAATCCCAACCTTCTGAACTGACTAATTCTCACATGGCTCAAGGTCTCTTGGTAAAAGACTAATGAATTAAATACCTTAATGCTCCTGCTTTTCACCACCACAAAAGAAAAGGGTACAAATCCTATCCAAATTAAGATCTGTGCCCAACAGAGAGGATCTTTATAATGCCAACCTATCTACTCTTCATGGCCAAAGACAAGGTCAAAGGAGCACACACGAACCATGACTTAAGACTGAGCTGTTATTCACATTCACTACATGTTCTATACTTTTACGGTGAATATATTTCCATACCTTAATGTAAATGTTCAGCTCCATATACAGAATAGATACAATACATATAAATAATACATACATACCTACATAACTACTATTATTTACCCTGAAAAATGAGCCAGACATTTTTATTTGTATGTTTTCTACTTTCTCTCTTAAATTAAAAATAGGTGAACAAATAGGGACTTTTCTGCTTCTTGACCAGTTTGCATAGTAGCCTACTTCTACACTAGATAAAGACTAAAAATAATCTTGCAGTCTTTTCCTCCACTCCATCATCTAGTTTTTATTAAACAACGTATGTAAAACATTCATATTTTAAAAAAGCAGATTCTGTGTTGAATACTACATATCCCTCTCACTTGTCAAATTTTTACTTTTCAGAATTCTTACATTGAAAAATGTAGGAAATAAGCCAAAAATATCCATCAAACAGCAACTTTCCTGAACTCACAGATGGAATCGGAGGGTAGGATGTCCAGTGTTACTGGCTCCAGTGCCACGGTCCCCATCCCACTCCAGTGCCCCACTTTCTATGCTTCCTGCCGAATGCTGACAACCAGCTGATGACTAATGACGAGCAGGATTTGGCATGCTCCCTAGGCTGTACCTCAATATGCTGAATTAGATACATCTCAATTGACAAATTTAGGGAGGACCCATTCATTATAGGCAAGATATTGGAGTAATTAAGAAAGACGACACCACAGTTGGCACTCCTGGAAGCTAACAATCTGGGTTGAACAACAGGATATGTGCATAAGAACCCAGCAGAAACCCCTCACCAGAACAGACATTGGAAAGCTTACCACTGTTGGGGGCGTAAGGAATGACTGCTATCCATTCCTTGCACCTGCTACTGTTACCTCCCAACCAAGGACACAGGATCGTATATGGGTTTACTCAGGCAAAGCTGTCTAGAAATTGGCCTTCCTGGTTCACTAAGGCAAGAGAAACGTAAAGAAGTTTTTAAGTATACAGCAGTTTACAGTGCTGCCTAATGTCCAGGGGATGCCGTTTACATGGAAACTGGATCGGCGGTCTGAGGCTGGTAAAAAGCCTTGCAAACTTAGGGACAGAGATTGCTACCTCTGCAGAGGAGCACAGGTGAGGTAAGACTATCATCACCTCGGGTACTGTGCTAGTTTGTGCCTTTTATCACCTAGAGATGGCTGGGGCACATGAGATCTCACCTGACAAAGACCTAAGCAGAAGTGTCCCAACCCTGTGACTAAACGAAGAGTTCAATGGCTTCTCCTTGATAACCTGCATCTGACATTTGATAAATGAGTTGTTAAACAACATAGATATCCAACTCTAAAATGTAATAATGTGCTTTTCTCTTTTTTTTTTACTTACTTTTAAGTACTGGCAAAAACATGGGGAAAGACTGGAACTTAACCAGTATTGTTATACGTTCAGGAATATTCTCAATATTGATCTGAAAAGAGCTGTTTTATAGTTTCCCCTTTAAATGTACTTCTTTGTTTTCTCCTCATTGTTTCCCTCTATTCTTGGCATCAAGCCAATTCTTTAGCAAGAGAGACTGTTGTGATTCCACAGAGACAAAAGAATAGGGGAGTTATCACTCCTGAAAAAAAATACATTAGTTTTTAATTTTCCAATTGTGATAGGATTGGGAATGTAATCTAGACTGTCGGTTCTTCTCCTTGGATAAATTCTGAGAATAGGGGCAGATTTGGAAGCTACTATTCTAAAATAGTATCCTCACTCATGTTTTCTTTCTATCTTTAGTCAGCTTACAAAATAAAATCCTCTTTTCTAGACTGCCTCCTATTTATCTAGCCTTTGTTTTTTTCCCTTCTAAGAACACTGGTTTCTTCTGCTTCTTTTCCAGCTTAACACCAGTTTCTACAGATTCACAGACAGAATGTAAAGTATAATACTTACCACATTAATTGGGGGTCTTTTGAAGTAAAATGGTAGTTTCTCTGTTACAGTTATGCAGACTAAATCCACATCTAAATGTGTACAAGCAACCTGTTAAGAAGAAAAAACAGGTATAGCCAGAAGGAAAACTGGCACATGTTAAGAATGGAAGATAGAATCAAACTTGATATAAAGAAATATAAATAGATACGGTTCACTCCATAGGCGAACTACATATGTCCCTTTATAAAGTCAGTTGTTAGCCATTCCTTCAAGTTTGGTTTGAATGGTTTAACTGTAATTTAGCCAAAGCAGAGGTGGTCCATAGACTATCTCAACAGACAGGGCCTAGAGACCCTCCAACTTATGGTCGGCTGTATGAGGATAAGCAGCTAAGAGAGGCACATACTCTGTAATGCTGCTCTTCAAAGGGTGAGGCCTGGATTTTGGAATAAGGAAGAAAATGGACTTCTATTTCCATTTATTTTTTACTTCATTTGTTTTGTGTGCGTATTGTTTTCATAAGCACATCAAGATAAGTAACATGCAAATAACTTATAAGAAAAAAACACACACAGATACTGGGGATAGAAACTGATAGGGTACACAACCAGAGTAGTTTGGAGACCACTGGGCTAAATAACCTGAATTCTCCTCACCCTGTCCAGTCATGTTAAATCCTAAATGGGAATAACCAACTCAGAGGCTCCTGAAGCTTCTATGTAACTCTCTCCTCCACCTCCCACTGCTGTCCCCCCACTCCTGGCCAGTGGACTCCCCTTACAGTCTTTCATCTTTGCCTCATTCCTAGGGTAACTATGGAAAGGAAGGGTTTATCTATAGAGACATCTTTCAGATACTCCAAGTGGGAAACAGTATGTTATTTCCCATGAAAACAATGCTATTTAAGGTGGTGAGCATTTATACTACTAATTGTAAACATATTTGTTTGCATGCTTTTATGATTCAATTTAGAGACCTTAGTTTTAAAGTATCATCTATAGGGACTCTTGCGTAAATTCTAGATAATGAACTTACAAACGGAACAAAATGACTTATGAATACAATTTGTTAAGTAACAAACTGATTGCATTTGACCCAATTCCAAACCATGATATACTCACAAAAGCTTTATGGTTAAAAGAAAGATTTTTTTTTATAGAAAATGATTTTTATATAGAAAACACAGAGTGCTAACTTCAAATGAGTCTTAAAGAATGAATAAGATGTGAACAGGTAAGAGAAAACTGTGCCAATTTTAAGAACTGTTTTCAAGTAACTTTGGGAGTATATCTGTAGTCAATTCCAATCAGTTTGTAAATTATTTATAGCTTTCATCTTCCAGAATATTGCTGACTGTTCCATCTACCATACAAACATGTATCCATGCTTTTGAATTCAAACTTTTGAATAATCTGAGAAAAACAAGTAATAAGATAAACAAGATAAAACTGCTATATGATACTATAATGTACTCTGAAGCCCAAAATCCTAGCTCTGCTATATACTATCAGAGATTTAGGGCAAATTATTTAGTCTAAGTCTGAACTTTCTCTTCTATAAGATGGAGATGTTAATAAAAACCTCCAGGATTGTGTGTTAAAGATAATAAATCAGTAAAAGTTTTTGGAAGGTTATATAAATGCATGTCTTCCAACCATGTTCAGCTTGTTTCTCTAATCACAGGTATATAGTCATAAAAACAAATGTGTGCTCTTCAAATCAAACCTAAATAACAAATACACAAAAAAAATTGGATGCATTACCAACTTTCAGTCTACATTATAACTGAGCTTTCATTATTTAATAACAAAACTAACTTGTTGTTTAACAAATCTGGAAATGCCTGTGGTCCTCCTTAGGGCTTCAGCACTGAATTAGAATCTCCCATGGAATGTGAAAAAACAGATACCCAGACTCAATCCCTGGAATCAGAATCTTCAGTGATGGACATCTAAACATGCCTGATTTTTAAAAAGTTCCACAGTGGTTTCTGATGACTAAGAGCCACTCAATGCTACTCAACTCTTTTTCTGAAACAAAACTCTTGAGAATTACCATGGTTGAGCACTTTATAAAGGGAATCACCAAACAAAACAAAACAGCTTTAATGGATAATCTGTACTGTTTTCCTGCACTAATATAAAAAATTAAGAATTGACAGTATGCCTTGAAAACTACATTTACCACCCATCAGCCTCCTTAGTCAACAGCTCCATCTACTGGATAAACTTAGGGGCAATCTTTCTACAGTTTTAGAACACATTTTGCTTAAAAATGAACTGTTCTGTAAACTTATACACCAAAGATTAGTACTTTTTTCCCCCAACAATATCCCATTGGTGGATACAGTTTTGGCAGATGGCTACTTTTTTGAACCTAGATACAGACAACATTTCTAAAAGTAGTAGCTATAACCTCATTTTACACAGTAAAATATATTCTTGAAAAACTGCATTAATTTTTTTCTTTTCTGTAATCATTTAAAATGCCCAGTGTGTTTTGTCTCAAGTTGAGCATACATGTGAAACAATTTGTCCTGAAAAGCCACAGAAATAGCAATTTTAAAAGTATAAAAGGAATTACAGATGACTCTTGAACAACACAGGGGTTAGAGGCATTAACCCCCTTAGAGATTTGAAAATCTGAGTATAACATGATTCTCCAAAAACTTAATGACTAATAGCCTACTGTTGGACTGGAAGCCTTATCAATAACATAAACAATTAACACATATTTGTAAGTTATATGTATTACATACTGTAAGCTGGAGGAAAGAAAATGTTATTAAGAATATCATAGGAAAGAGAAAATACATTTACAGTACTGTATAGCACTTACTGAAAAAATGCAAATATAAGTGGACTGACATTTAAACCTGTATTATTCAAAGGTCAACTCTATATTCATAAAGGCTCTGAGATCACAAAGGGGAAAGCTATGAGCAGATGATTGATTTTGAAGAATTTCTGGAAGACTAAACATTGACATGATCATGCTGACATATGGACTACACCTCAGCATGTGCAAAGGGGAAAGCTAAAAGAGATGGTATCTTTTCTGCCACAGTACAACCTTGAACCTTTCTTCCCTCACAGGCAGTAGTGAATAGTGTGAAAGGCAGAAACTGAAGTGAATTTAGAGCTAGAAACAGTTGGACAAATATTTACCTAAGAAGAGTTGCAAATGAATTAACAAATGAAGCAAAGATTAAAAAACAAGAAAATTGGATGGACTCTTTCAATCTGACCCCATCCAGTATCTAGCAGGATGAATAAAACCAAACAAAAAACACATGCCACTCAAATACACCCATGCAAAATTCCAGAATTCAAGTGTAAATGTAAAACGCTAAAAGCTTCCAGATGGGGCAAAACAGGTCACCTACAAAGGCATAGCAGCTGACACCTTATATATAATAATAAATACTACTTTCTTTTACTGTTACTTACATGGAAAAGTTTTTCTGTTTTTGGAAAAACTGCAACAATGTCATATAGCCGGACTTTTGAAGATGTTGCTCTCTAGTAACAGAAAAAGAATGTTATCATACAGTGACAAAAATTATACACATGGAATTCTGACTAGTGGCGGCTGCACTTATATTTCAATCATGTAACATTTTTAATACACAGGGAAGACCTCAGAGCACACGAAAATTTAGATACTAACATCCATCCCACCACATTCATCCCACTGATCATCCTCCTTCTTTCCTTACATTTGTTACAATTTAACTGTGTATCAAACATTGGATTTAAGATACTAAAATCAAATTAGATAGCTCTTGCTCTTACAAGCTGGTAGAGGAGCTTCCCAGACATTTACTGAACATTTGCTCTGTGCAGGACACTGGGAATACAAAATCATTTAAGGCGCTTTTGTCTGCTTCAATAGTTGCCATTGTTTTGTGAGTGAAGAAATATACATGACTGAGCATGATGCAATTACATTCACGATGAGAATACCTTTAAATATAAATCAAAATGCTAGATGTGCAAGAAAATATCTAAAGAGCCTTAGGGCTGAAGGAGAAGGTTCTATCAATTAAAGAGTAAGAGTTACTGTTTTAAAAAAGAAAATCTCAAACTTACACTGTAAGTGTATGTATGTGAAAAAGTTGGAAAAATATATATTCAAATGTACAGTCTCTGAATGATGAGATGATACATATTTATTTTATGCCTGTTGGCACCTTCTAAATTTTTACCTCTTATTTTGTAAAAGGAAAGACCTAAAAGAATTAGAGGAGGAAAGAGGAGGGTTGAAGAGAAGCAGCAGGTGCCATGCTTAAGCAGGTAAGAAGGCCTGCTGGGCAAATCTGTGAGCCGGGATGCAGGATTTTTTGCCCTCTGTTTGCCCACTCCCACTTGGGAAGAGAATAAAGAGTATGACCAGGATGTTCATGATAACAAGAGAAAATGAAAGTCTTTGCGACCCATCAAAAGTCAGCTCCATTTACGTCTGCCCTGGGCCTAGAGAACCAGAATGCTTCCTTGAAGCTGTGTGAAATACCAGAATCTAGCCTTCCACATTTTCTTTTGCAAGGTTAAGTGTTACAAAGGCCAGCCCTTTCCTGGATTGCTCCTGTTCTGTGACAGAGGAGCCCATCCCAGCGAAAGGAACAGCTCACCTTCTGAGGGATCTCACTTTCTCTCTCCCTCACTAGATCCTTCCCACCAGCAGGCCTACTCAAGTCTCTCCCATCTAGCAAACAATATCTAGACAGCAGGTTCTCATCCACCAACCTTTTGGCCCCCAGTGGAGTGAAACTGTTCAAGTCAACATGATACCCTGTCCACATTTCCTCAGGGTCCTATTATTTCCACGGAAATGGTTTGTGCTAAGGCAACCAACAACTTCCCTGTTGATAAATTCAAGACATCTTTTAGCCCTTCTCCTACTTGTACTCAGGCACACCCTTCCTCACTCGTCCCTTCTCACTTTCTTCACTGTCCTCCTACTTCTCAGTCCCTCCCAGCCTCCAACCCTAGCTCATCCTCCTCTACCCCACCATTAGATGCTGAAGTTCCTCGGGACTCTGTTCTGGGCCTCCTCTTCCCTCACTGCACTTTGACCAGGAAGTCTCATTCATCCCCAGGATTTCAATCCCTCTCTCCAGGCCAACCATTTCCAGATCAGTTTTCCTAATTGGATTATTCTTCTGAGGATCACACCTGCCTATTGGACAAGCCCTACTCGCACTCTCACAAGAATCCATCATGTCCCAGACAGATGCCCTTGAACCTGCTTCTCTTTGTACATCGCATCTCAGGATATGGTACCACCATCAACCTAACCAGGCTGCTCAGGCCACACCAGGGAGTCATCATCCTAGGTTCAATCAACCATCAAAACTCATTAATCCATCGAACCTCCCCTCTGGGGCCCTCTCAAATCCCCTCCTTAACCCCCCTTGTGATCCATCCATTCTTTATAACATACACCTCATACTTTTCCTCCTTTGGTTAAACCTTCAAGGGCTTCCAACTGTTCACCCAGACCTACCTCCCCAATCTCATCTCAGGTTAGCCAGCTCACTAGGCTGGCCCTGTTATTGATACTTCATTTCCCAGAATACACAGTTTCCTTGGTTTCAAGGCATCTGCACCCTCCATCCTGTTCGTGGGAACACTCTCTCCCCAACTAGACAGCTATAGAACCTGATTCTTCTGGCTCCAACTTGAACAATCAACTTCTTGAGTTTGGTCTCCCTGTATGCACTCCCAAAGCATCCTTTATTTACTACCTCCCATTTTTTAAACATTCCTCACATTTTAAATTATTATCTGCTTAAAGCTTATCTTGTTAATTAAACTATAAACTTTGTAAATTCAGGGATTATGTCTATATTAATTTAGAGCAGTATCCCTAGCACCCACCTTATGACTCTGGTTCATGAGTTCAGCAAATAGCAGTTGTCAAAAAATTCTTTCATTGTGTATCCCTGTACATGTGCCAGAGTAGAAGAGACTGTATTGTACTATGTGATTTCTAAGGATAGGGAGAGCAGGCAGAAGTCACAGAAAGGGTGTGTAAGTAAGGGTAAGATGAAAAACCACCTGTTCAGTATTAATCAATACAACCTACAAGGCCAAAAAATGAGAAGAAAAATAGTTAACTTACCAAAACATTGCAGTGAGATGGATCCGAAACGATAATCGTCAGTCTAGTTAAAATTTTAATAGGCCTTGATTTTCCCTATAATCAAAAACATGCTATCAAAACACAAAATACAAATGACTGATTTTCCTCCTTACCAGTGGGAAGTATTTATTAAAAGTACCATCAGTAAGGGATAGTGAAGATTAATAAGACCTAGACTTTGGTCTCAAGGAATTTATAATACAGGTAGAGAAAAAAAGACATTCATATCATACATAATGAGATAGATAATTTAACGGCAGTGGGACTTCAAGAAAGATCATCAGGGAAGTACAGAATCAACAGTAAGAGAATGTCTCACATAAGAGCTGAGTATTGATGGAAAAGTAAGATCGGCAGGGGGACTGAGCAGTGCAGCTTAGAGAACTGCATATGTAACTGGGCATGTTTGAATGAATGAATAGGTATTAAGCTTCTCAACAAAACACCTACCTGTACAATTGGCAAAGTTGTAAAGAGCTCAGAAACAGCTAATGGTTTTTCAATCTCCTGCAACAAACAATAAACAGTCACCCCAAATTTACATGTTAATAAGACAAAGCACAACAGAAAACCTACAAGGGGCTTTTGGAAAAGACCATTCTTAAAAAAAAGCAAAGAAAGAAAGCTAATTTCTGGTATTCCAAAACACCAAGTAAATTTTTTTCGTTTTTTTAAAAAAGGAAGAAAGTTGAAGAGCAGAAAGCCACTGAGAACATGAATGGATAGGAGGGATAAAAAACAGCTTTTAGATTGAAACAGTATGGTACAGTTGTTGGCCTAAAGAGAAATATAAATACTGACTAATACGATTAGAGGGAAATCAATCAGTAATGAATCTATGAAAGTAAAATAAAAAGTAAAAAAAAAAAAATCCCTAAATATTGTGATTAGAGTTCAGTCCATAGTAATGTACTTTTTAGTTATTAAAAGTCACTTTATTAACATTGAATCAACTTTAAGAATCCTTACACCACATCCTGGTGCCTCATAAAAAAAAACTTCATCATTTGCACAAATACATGTCAGCTCAAATGTTAACATATAAAATAATAAGAGTGCATTTAAGAAATATGCTCATCTATAGCTTCTAATTACCAGTAGAAACACAAATATTAACAAGTGCTGGTTATTAACTTCAGTAATTGTTTTACCTGTTTCTTCTCCTTAAATTCAACAACATGATTGACAGCAACAACTGAATAGCCCACTGAAAAGAAAAATCAAACATTGTTAAATGTAACAACCTCTCTTTCCTGTGTACCTAGGCTCATCCAATTTATGTCAAAACAAGAAGGCAAATAACAGAGTGGCTGTGGGCCTGGGGTCTGGTGTCACACTGCTGCTCTCAAATCTAAACATTACCACTTACAGGCTACTTGACCTTAAGTTTCAGGTTCTTCATCTGTCAAATGGCATTAAGAACAGAACTTACCTCATACACCTGTCATGAGAATAAATGAGAGAATACACACAGGATGTTTTATAACAGTGCCTGGCACAGAATCAGGGCTTTGTAGGACTTCTGTGATGTATTATTAGAATGACATTAAAGACCCTTACCTTTATGTTTCTCCTTTTAACCATTATTCTCTTTCATGTACCTTTTTTCATTTTCATCCCTGTAAGTATATACTTTTCCCCTGCCATCCTTATTACTGCTCACTCTTTCGCTTTTTACCCTTTCTATATCCTTCAGAGGCCTGTTTCCTAAGGAGAAATGGAGTAATAACCCTCATATGGCTGCCCACTTCCCCTTGTGGGCTGCCCGCCATTAATAAATTGAGAACTCTTTTGAGGCGAGGACCTTGTTGCATGGGCCTCAACACAGCACTGTTCTGAACATCTGGACTACCAAGTATGTCTCAATCATGACTCCTACCTTTAACTTCTTTAAAAACCAATGGGGATGGCAGGATATTAATACTAAAAGACAATACTGATGCCAAAACAGTGGTTCTCCCTCTCATCAGTTTGTCCCACTTCCTTTTTTCCTTAAATATTTATTGAGCATCCATTACCTGACAGGTCCCACAGAAACCTCTTTAGTGTTAACCTCTCTATCCCCACACTTTACAGTCTAAGAAGACAGTATTCATGAGTAACTCCAGTAATTGAAATGAGGTCTTATCTCTCAGGGTTTTCACTTCCCTTGGATTCAAATATGAGTAACATTCTAGCATTTTGGACATGCTGCTTCCCTCTCACCGTCCAGAATGTCTAGCGCTCTTACCTACACTTCCCCTAACCAATACACTATTGTTATTATATTATCATTATTATTATATTATTCCAATAGTCGCGTCCCCATATGCTCCCACTTCTCTGAGACCTCCACAGCACTTTCTTTTGTGCACCAGCTTCCCGCATTTGCTCGGACACTGTCGTTGAGAGGCAGAAGGGGGTGACATCAAAAGCCCTGACACATGAGACTGCACACTTGGAAACCCCGGCTTCCGTCGCCGATTAGCTATGCGGCCCTACGCAAATCCCCCACTCTCTCATGGCTTCAGTTTCCTTAAATTAGCAAGAAAGAAGAAATTGGACTGGGTGCCAGCACCCTAGTGTCTTCGAGTTTCCCGAGATCGGCACAACACCGCAGTGGGTATCAGCTTCCAAGAGCATCCCAAAGACCCTGAACGAGGCCCCGCATTGCAGATCCCTCCCAAGAGCGGCCGGATAATCTGGTGGGCAGCCAGCAGGGCAGGCACCATAGCCTGAGAAGCCGGGGAGACTCACCGTGAGCCGCGTTTTCCACCAGCCGGCGCAGAGCCTTCAGGTCCGAACCCGCTCGCAGATCCAAGTCTGCAAACACCGCCATGCCGAAGTCACATGATCACCCGCGTTTCCGTTTGCGCAGCCGCCAGGCCCGCCCACAGGGCATGCTGGGAGTTGTAGTTTCCATGCGCAGTCAGTCCCTCCGTGCCGTTGACTAAGGTTCACAAGCGTTGCTTCGCTTTCAAGTATAGCAAAAATTAATGCGTTGAGATCAACAGCCTCCCTTCAATCCTCCTTTTCTTCTGAATGAGGATGTTTGGTTTCCCCCGGAGGACTTCACATCTCCCACCATAACTCCAGTAAAATGAGGTAGAAAGTGATTTTTTTTAAATGAACGTATACATTTAAGCGCCTACCATGGACCACGCACTTTTGCTAAGACTGGACACGACTTTTCAAAAGTCATAAGGAGACTGTTTTTCTTTCCTTCCCCTAAAGTCCGTTCCGTTAAAATGGGTTTATCGAGAAGACGGGGAACTGACCCGAAGAACTCGAAAGAGAACTGCCCGAGAAGAGTCGTTTCGTTCAGTCAGAACTGGTAGTGTCGCAGCACGCTGCTCCCTGTTATGTTTCAGTCCACATCTTCAACCGCAAGATGTCAGGGCTCGCTCTAGGATAAGCCTGTACTGGCCAAGCCAGAAACGGGTTTGTCAAGGGAGGTGCAGGATGGCAATGTGTTACGGTTTTCCTTCAGAGAAGTGTGTGAGGTGGCGTACGCATCTCTCACATGATGCTTCCACATTTTGAACGTCTATAAATGAACTTTTGAAGATTGATAAATCAATTATTTGACAACATAAAATCGTGGAACCATAGCTTACATCGGTGCTTCTCAAACTATCTGTGACAAAGAGCCAGTTTCCAGTCCCCCATTGTTTCGCAGGCCGGTAGGTGGTCCCTTGCTCATTACCAGTGGACAGCTCTGGCCTCTTAAGACTAATCTGACAAGTTCCATACTGGGCTGAATTAGAAAAGTCCACTTACTGGTGAGAGCTTGGATATTTGGACAATGCCAAAATGCTGTGAAAGTTCCTAAACATTTTCAGTCTCTGTACTTATCACAAACAATACATGGTCTCTGGTCTGTAGATCACACCTTGATTAGTATTCTTTTACATGATTTCTTTCTTGGTCTCAGAAGAGAATTTTAAGAGGGATCTGTTTTCATGTAGTAGTATGCAGTTCTCCTCTTGGTTAAATTTTATAAAGAAGAAATATCTTGCTTTTTCCAATATTTGATATTTCCTAAATAAAAACAGAAGAAATTTTTACTTCTGCAAATAGACCAAGTTTATACACAGTGAAACCCATTGCTTCTCATCAGAAAATCTAGTGTTAATTTTGCAGGATCATATAGGCATCTTCACCTATGACCACAATATCTACATAGGTCAGAAATATAACCAATGTGTGGTGAAGGTGACTAAGATGACTAATTATATGACTCCAGCTTTAGACTAAAGATGGCTTTTTTCTTTGAAAGTCATGGTGCTGTTGCTGTGAATTGTTGTACCCTTTAGATTTCTTTACCCATCTTCACCATGGGCCGAGGTGAAGAGGAAGAGAAAGGGCAAGAAAGAAAATGAATAGCTAGATAAGAGTCACTGAGCACTTTACTGAGGGCAGTCAATTTGCTAATTACTTAGTTACATATCTAATTTTCAAAGCAACTGTGAATTAAGTACTGTTTTTTAGCAACATCTTCATTTTAACATCTGAGAAGGTTTGGGTGAAAGTACCTGTGGGTCCAGGTGGTTTGATTCAGTCCTCATTTCGTGTACTGTGTCCTTGCAAAGCAAGAAGAGAGGAGAGTCGGAGGATGGGGAGCGAGGAAGGAGAGGAAAAGCTTGAAAGGAAGAAAAGAATGGAGGATTTGAGGGGAAAGGAAAAAAGTAGGGCGGGGGAGGGAAGGAGAGGAAGGAGGTGGATGAGGAGCAGAAGGAGCAGCAAGAGGGAAGAGACAGGATGGGATGGGGAGAAGAATAAGGAAGAGGGTCAGAAGCTGGCCTGGAAGGATAGCTGAAGCAGCCAGGAGTTTGAAAAAGACCAAAGATATTTTTGACTGGAAGATAATACTGTATAATTACTCTAAGTACTTTGTTTCCATTATCTGACTTAATCGTCACAACAAGCTAAAGAGAGATCATTATTCCTGTTACATTGAGGAGTCCTGGGCTCAGAGAGGATGGCTCTTGAATCATTTCCTCTTCCTTGGGGAGCTTAGAAAGAGAGGGTCGTTTTTGGCATCCAAGGCAACCTTTGAGCCCTTCTCAGTCTCCCCAAAGACCTCGCTTTCTTGGTCTGGCCCCTAAAAGCCAGTGTGTGTTCTGTTAGTCTTTGGCCTTATCTTTTCATCTGGTTCACCCTTCCTGGGTGAGCCGAGAAACGCTTCACCAGGCCCCTGTCCCCTAAATAGGGTAAGGCTGAGGTGGGGCAAGTGAGAAAGCAACACTGTAACATGATTTGCTCAGGTGTGTCAGGCAGCTGGCAGGGACTTATCTCCTAGATGGAGTGGGAAGTTTGGGAGATTTGGAGACAATAAAGGATGGTTTCCTGGAGGAGGTAATGAATTGAATTTTGATGCATGGAATCAAGTAACAACAATAACAACAAGATGTAGATATCTGGGTTGATTCCACAACTGCACTAAATATGTAGTAGTCAGTCAAATGACCTTGCAATTTCTGCTTACCCCTGCATCCCTGCATGTAGATTTGTTAGTCATCAAAAGGAATTCTGCTTGTGGCTGAAGACTGATGCAAACAGCCCCCTACTCAAAACTCACAACCCTGAGGAGATAAGAAGGTAGGTGCAAAAATGGTGATTGTTCTGTCAAGGATTTCTAGGAACATTGTGGCTGTACCCACATCAGTGAAATGACTGGAGTCAACTAACCAAGTACAAGGAGATTCACCCCTCCTCATACCCTTGCTGAAGCCCAGTTGTCTGACATCAACTGTCATCTCCTGACCTCAACCCCTTTCTGCACCCTCCCTTCCCTTGCAGAAAAGCAGCTTGAAATCGACCCTGAGTTAAGATGTTCTTTAGGACATTAGCCTGCCATCTTCTCAGTTTGCTGGCTTTCTGAATAAAGTCACTTTCCTTGCCCCAACTGCTTGTCTGTCGACTTAGGGGCCTGTCATGAAGTGAGCAGTATGAGCTTAAACTAACAACCTGTTGTTGACTTTCATTATCTTATGAACCCAATTGTAGCACTGTTGGATGTATTCAGTTACCTAAACACATGGCCAAAAATTCACTGAACTGCATACGGCATGATAACCCAGCAACCCAAAGAGGACCCCTCTCTTGTTCCCAATGCTGAAGCACTCAACAGGCGCTCCTGTACAGATCTAAAAAAGATGTCCTTCCTCCAGGTGGACTTGCCCTTGCCCCTATTCACCACGTGGCTGGTAAGTTTGTACAGGGAACTACCTGCCCAACTTCTCCAGAGGCTCTGAGAAAGCACAGTAACAGAGTTAATTGCTAGACTTAGAACTCTAATGGGACTCTACAGGACATCACCAATTCAGGACACCTCCCTCAATCATTCCTCATCTTCTTGCCTCCCCCCAGAAATTTCTGTTACTGATCTGATATCATAAGAATTTATCCATCATCTTAGCTGGGATAGTCTATCCCTGATTGCAGTGTTAGGGATTTTTTTAAAAAGTGTAATTAAGATGAAAGTGAAATAATTTTTATATCTATGTTTCAGAAGTTTGAAAATGAAAGGCAAATGGAGAAGGCTTATATATTATAAAACTTAAATTGTGAAAGTAAAGAGTATTCCCACCTCTTTAAGATGCCAAGAATGCCGGCAACAGAAGAATACAACTTAAGGAGTCATTATGAAAGGAAACTAAGGAAGAACTGTGACCGGTATGAATGAGATGTGTGATGGTAAACTCAATGAACGTAAAGAGAAGGACCAAAATTTCAACAAGGCTGATTTTTTAATGCAAGTAAAATAAGTGATTGTATTAGTCATGTGTCTTCCAGAGATACAAAACTGAGGGTATATATATTTATGGAGTATATATATACTTCCATCCTATAGTCCCAAAGCAGGCAGGCTCCAGGAAGAGCTGATATTTCAGTTTGAGTCTAATAAAAGGAAAAGACTGTTTTCCCCACTGGAAGGCAGTCAGGCAGGAGGAAACCTTTATCAGGAAGGGTCAGACTTTTTGTTTTATTCAGGCCTTCAGTGATTGGATGAAGTCCACCTATATTAGGGAGGTTAATCTGCTTGACTCAGTCTACTGATTCAAATGCTAATCTCATCTAGAAAAAAACCCCATACACACATCCAGAATGTTTGACCAATAACTGGGCACCCTATGGCCCAGTAAAGTTGCTAGATAAAATTAACCATCATAGTGATACTGCCTAGAAATTGTTGCATATTAAGTGAAAAAAAAATTGCTCAGGCATAAAACTTTATACCGAAGGTAAGTTTACAAAGAATGTTTATTGAAGGCAAAAGAAAGAACAGGTCCTAAACAGAAACTAGGATTTGCAAAGGTAATAGCCATAAATTCTATTGCTCAGTAAATTGAAATACAGCTTAGAACTTGCAGGATAAATTACATGGAAAAAAAAAGTTATTTCTGCCTTTTTTTTTTTTGCAGCTGATAAGCAAGTAGATATATAAAAGCTATTTGTGTTGTGAATTTTGACATGACTAAATATCTTCTGGAAATAGTGCCTAAAAAAAGCACATCATTAGGAAGTAGCTTATTTGGGTGTACAGAGAAGAATTTTTGAGAATTTTAAAAGTAGAATTGTCAGAATTGGTAACCATGACTACAGATGGGACTCCTGTGGGGTAAGTTTTACATCAGACTTATACATAAGCACCATGTGACAAGACTTTGTCAAGATACAACATTTTAGCCAATTTATTGTACCATGGATCAGAAACCACTTTGAGCTCTAAATTAAAATACTATACAAATAATAGCCACAGCAGATGACATACACACAGTTCATGCTCCAAATGGCTGTAGTGGATGCTGAGAAAATTTTGAACTACTGAAAGAAAGTTACTTTTTAATGTTATCAAGGAACAGTCTCCACCTCAGTTTACC